CTGCGCCAAAAATAGGTGGAGTTTTTCGACCGTATCAGACACTCAACAAATCTATTGCAGAATGGTTTAACTTTCTCACTTTTTTTACGAACAGATTTGTTCCGCTACATGACTTTATGTGCCAAATTAGGCTCATCAAGGCCAAGCATTCTGACTCCTGTCTGCTGTTCCACTTGCTTCAACGGCAACAGTTAAAAGCCACGGGTACCTATAAGTACCTATAACATACTCAAACGCATAGCGTGTTAGCAAAAAGCATTTTTCCAATATCTTTAAAGTTCACTTAGTTCTGCTTTTTATGAGCTATAAAAAGCAGGTGAATGTTAGAAAATTTTCTAAGTACCAAACAATTGACAAATTTACCGCTTGGATTTTACTGTGCTTATAAGGGAGAAGCGTGATGTCATGAAATTTTCATACCACTTTTATTTTTACCATAAGCAATTTTCCACCCTTCCAATTCAATTAACTGCGATAGCTTTCGTGATGATTCAGTTCATTATCGTTGATGTTTTTATTTTTCTGATTTTCTTTTCTTTTTTTCTCCTCCTGCAATGTATTGTTGAAAAACTAATAGCAGAAGGCTTGAATTTGTCAATAATGACGACCATAGTTTCCCACTTACTACCACAAATTTCCACTGATATGCTGGTAATTGGAAAGAGAAAATTTGAGTCACGAACATCCTCTGCCGCTATCGACTAAGTAAACCACTTTTTCAATTTTCCTTATAAAGCAACCTGAAATGGTCACTTTGAGCATCGCTTTTACCAGCATTTCCCAGCATTGGATTACCGTACATTCTCACGAGAAAAACTTTAAATTTCTGTTTCAAATGCTTTCTTCAACTCCATCTTTCTTTGCACAATTATCAGTTTGTGATTTCTGATGTTATTATGCATTTTCCTATTTACATCTTTCTTCTTATTTATTTACCTACCTTTTACTTTCATTCTACGCCCAACATAGTTATCAGTACGCAATTAAGAAGTTCGATATATATCGAAATATTTGAATACAGTTCCCAAAGAATGCCCCGTGTGCAAATGTTGATAATTTTAAAATAACTATGGGCAAAGCCAATATTTTTTTATTCCATGACGATTAACCTATCATCTGACACTACTGACAGCCGCAGGCCATAACTTTCTCTGAGATATCAGAATTAACCAATCCAAGACGGTATTACGACTCCAACATTTGCTTGCAATTTAGAAAATATAACATCTACATTTAGTTGTTAGCAACTAAAAGCTACTAAACTGCTGAAATAATGTGTATATTTATTACCAAAATTGTGATCAAGGTACATCGAAGCTTAGAGCCAAAAGAAGCTACGCTACTCAAACTTTCTGACCAGCTTACCTCTTTCATTTATAGCAAGTGTAGATCCGATAAGTCTAATCAATGCTACGCAAACGTTTGCTTTAATTTCCGCCTTCTCTTTCAGCATGTGTTTCCCCCAGTCCATGAGCCGAATTCGTTGAAAACAACAATGTTTCGCTTTCGCTGCACTGAACAACATCCGCTGCTTGCACACGCCTCTAAGTGCGCTCAATAAGCAGTTTGCTTCAAACATTTCAATCGGCAAAACATTAGGACGGGCGCACGGCACGCATACAGAAACACAGACGCACAAAAACATTTACGCCAGAAACCATTTGAATAAATCTGACAGTCTGAAAAATTTTTTAGATAGAGAAGTCGCGGGCAGCTTCTTCCCAACGCTTGCTTTCGTAGGATCTCCAACCTCATCCTTCCAATCACCCGCTTTCGCGCCCGAGGCGATACTTGGGCACTTTGTCAAAATGTTTGAAGAAAGGCAATGTTACTTCTTCGTTTGGTAAACAAAGTGTCTTTTTAATTGGCTTCTAGTAACACTCGCTTTGATTTTGAATTCTACAGTGTTGGTCGTAATCCTTTTTTTTTTGACTTCGACTCTTCTAACATGCTCGGCGTTCATCGCCTCTATTTTGGCATTTTTAAAGACAGTAGGTGCCTACATTACTTTTTTTGATGTCAATTTATTCACTGGGTTTATTTTGTTCAAATTTTAAAAATGATTATCACTCAGTTCCGGGAAGAAGGAGGAAATGATGATTGGTGTTCTTTGGAAAAAAAAA